CCGCCGCCGCTGGCGGCGGCGGCAGCGGCAGCGGCAGCGGCAGCGGCTCCTGCGGCAGCATCACCGCGGCCATGCGCCAGGCCGCCGCCGCCCTCGTGGCCGCGACCCCGGAGGCACGGCGCGCGGCGGAGAAGGAGGTGCCCGCCCCGACCGACGCGCACCTCCAGCTGACGGCCAAAAAGGCCCTGGAGGCGCTGGTTGCGAGGCATCCGTCGGCCGCCCGAGCGGTGCAGGACATGCGGCGCATCCTGGCGGAGTCCGCGGCGAGCGCAACCAGGAAGAGGGAGCTGGCTGCCGCGACGGCGGCGGGGGCGGCGAAGGCGAAGGCGACGGTGCCGCCGCCGCAGCAAGTTGGCGATGGTGTGTCACCCGCTGCTGCTGCGGCGGCGGCGGCGAATCCCGGCGCGGGGGAAAAGGCAGGAGGGATAGAAGTAGCGGCAGGAGTCGGACCAGCAGCAGGAGTTAGTCCAGCAGCAGGAGCAGCAGCTGCAGCAGCAGCAGCAGCAGATGCGGCGGGGGCGCGAGCGGCGGCAGCAGTAACAGCAGATGCGGCGGTGGCGCCGGCAAACGCGAGCGGGGAGACGGTGTCTCCTCCGGCGCCAGCGGCAGCGGGAGCACCGGCACCGGCGACAGGCGCGGAGGGGTTGGGGGCCGACGGGGCGGCGGGGCCCGAGGTCAAACCGGCGGCCGTAGCATCGGCGGCGGGGGCTCCGTCTGTTGCCGAGGGCGGGAGCGGCGCTGCTGGTGCAGTAGTGGCGGCGGCGGCGGCGGCAGCGGCAGCGGCGGCGGCGGCGGCGGTGGTTCAAAAGGTAAGGCGCCGGCCGTGTCACTTACCATCTCCAGCTTTTTTTGCCGGCTGGCCGATCGATGGGAAAGATTGGTGTGTCTCCGGAACTTTGGTTATTGCGGGCCCGTTTTGCGGAAGTCTGTGCTGTAGGTGAAGGTGGATGGATGGCGGTGGTGGTGGCGTGCTGCAGCAGCATCTCCCGCTTGGTGTTGGTGTCGGTGCTGGTGCTTCGTTTCCTTTCGTTTCCTTTCGTTTTTCCCTTCGTTTCCTTTCGTTGCTTCAGTGCTTCAGTGCTTCGGCACGGGTAAATGTTTGGTAAGTTTTGTCTTGACACGAGCGGAGTCCCTCCGTTATTCCGTACTGCCATGTGCTCATGCCGTGTTGGTCGCCTCGGTGATGTAGAGGAATAGTCTAGTCTCATAACGCAGCCTTTTCCGTCCCTTTGAGACTGACGTTGATTTAGAGGAATAGTGTCGTCTCTTGTCACAGCTTTTTTCTGTCCCTGAGAGACTGACGTTAATTCAGTGGTCGGCCGGTGACATCGTTAGCGCCGCCGTGGATAGAGACATTCTGTACCTCAAGAACCCACCGCGATTTTCGGCTTGAGCTTTTGGTGGAAGGGCTAGGAAGGAAGTTGTTCCGGTTCTGTTGCAAGATGATGAAAGAAAAGTCATGGTACCGCGGTACACACAATACCAGCCGGTTTCCCTCCACTCACTGTATCTATCACGTCGTCCTCGACTGCTGTGGTAGTATGCATGCAATTATATCCGCAACGGGTAGTATTGCAGTCCCTTTGTGTTTTCGATGTATCTTTCCTGGAAACAAGCACGCGCTCTCTCTCGCTCTCTCTCTCTCTCTCTCTCTCTCTCGACACGTGGCCGTCCCTCGCTATTGATGTGACCACGATCAGGAGACTGACACGATGACGATCCTGAACCAAGTGTGGAAGCCCAAGAACGTCCAAGTTGGCAGCAAGTTCCGCGCCTCGCTTGTGCGGGTGAGTTTGGTCTATCTCAGTCCATCATTCGTGTGATGTGAACGTGTGTGGTGCGAAACACGTGCTACGTTGAAGTGGCGCTCACGTTGTTTCCACATGTTGCCTCTTTTTATGCTCCGTATGATCTTTGTACTCCGTTTTTTGTTCTGCATGGCTTGCGATTTTTTGTTTCTTTTCTCAGATCACTTCGAAGCTAAGCACCCTGGACGAGATAGAGGACCTCCGGCAGATGTTAAACTCACACGACGTGAGTGCTCTGCTGCTGCTGCTGCTGCTGCTGCTGCTGCTGCTGCTGCTGCTGCTGCTGTTGTTGTTTCGTACTTGTATTAGTTGTGGTTGTTTTTGTAGTCGTTGGTGTCTGGACAGATATGATATTTCCGTTGGTTATTCGGTAAGATCGCCTGGCAAAAACGTTACGTTGAGTTGACGCGTGAGTCCCACTGTCGGAAGACCTGGAGGGCGCATGGCTGGGAAACCTTGGGGTTCGATCGCCGTACCCCGGTGTTGGTCTTGAGTATATATGTTTCATGTTTTTGGAAATATCTTTGGCTCTCGAGGCCGCAGCGCAGAAACGTCGGGTGGACGCGACGGGGGGGGGGGAGGTCATCGTCTACGAGTCCAAATGTCTCATTTTCGATGTCATGTGCTGCATCCAGGACACCGAAGGAAACAACGCAGCAGACTTTCACTGTACGGGTGGTTGTGGTCTCCCTGTGTCTTGACCTTTTCCGCATCTTTCCCCCTTCCCTCCTCGAACAAAACGGACTCGCGTGGGGTGGCGCTTTGTTGCGCAGCCTCCATTCGGGAGGCATCTGAATCAGGTCCCCGCCGGATGGGGACCCGCCCACGACAAGTGGCTGGCCCACGCCGCCCTTGAGCAGGGGTGGTTCACTTCCATGCAGAAGAAGAAGGCCATGAAGATCATCGAGGTACAGCACAGTACACCAGTACGGATGTCGTATGTGTACGGTCTCTGCGTGTTAAGCTACGGGAGACAGATCGAACACCCCTCGTTGCTCGTGTGTTTCATTTTTGTTGTGTTGTTTTTTGGGTAGTTTTTGGCGTGTCGGGAAGGCATGCCGGGTATGCGTGGGTCTACACGAAAAGTAAGCGTCATCGGGATTGAAGTGTGGACCAGGCGCACATACAGCTGAAACTAGCTTGGCAGTCACGCGAGCATCACTGCGGCCGTCACAGCAGTAATGATTTCCCTGTACCGCTCTACATAAACCTTCTGACTGTAATTTTATTTCGAAAAATTGAGGGCAAAAATTGTCACCCCCACCAACCCACCTGTTTCTGCCCGGAAAATGCCGTAAAACACGCCCGTTACCACCAACGGGTGATACATTGCAAAGGTTTTCGGACCCGGGAGTATTGTTGTCTTGAAACCAACAACCGTTTCGATCGCTCCATCCAGCACCTTCATCTGTCCGTACCAATTCAACGTGTGTCGGCCACATAATGGCAGGACGCCAGGGGGCTGTGGCCTGGTCTGATCAGCATGCCAGACCACGTCATCCTCGGGAGGCGTCTGAAGCAGCTCGTCGCCAAGTTCAGGACCGAGGCCTCGAGGCACGCCGCTGCCGCGAAGAAGGTAGAGAGGGAGAGGGCCGACGCGGCCTACAAGCAGAGGAAGTTCCTGGCCGACATGGAGAGGCAGAAGTGAGTTGGAGGTGCAGCATGGTAGCAGTTCCTGGCTGACATATAGAAGCTGAAGTCAGCGCGAGGTGGAGTTATGTTGCTCGAGTCTGCATGTTTTTTTTTTTTGCACCGATTCACTATTTACGGGCTGTTCCTGCTTATAAGACGGTTCACACCATCCCAGAAAAAGGTTTTCTTTTTTTGTCTCCACCTTGTCCCCTTTAGTTGAAATATACTCCGAATCCGTTCTCCTTTTCTTGTGTTTTTTTATATTCTGTCCTCGTTCACCTCTCCACCCCGACGTTTTCAGGGTCAAGAGGGAGCAGGAGGAGAGGATCCGGCGAGAGTGGCAGGCGCGTGAGGCGAAGCGAGCCCAAGACAAGGCGGCCAAACTGAAGGAGGCCAGCATGGCGACCAAGCAAGCCAGGGACGTCCAACGGACGGCGGCGGCGAGAGCCCGCGCGGAGGAACTCGCGAAAGAGCGGGACCGGGCCGTGGCGGCCAGGGCAAGGCTCGCCGCTGCCGCTCGGGAGCGAAACCCGGCTGCTTCGCTGGCGGAGATCCTGCGCGCGCCGACGCAGGAGCAGCCGGAGCAGCCGCCGGTGAGGCCGTACCTGCCGTCAGGTCTCGACGCGAGCTCGCCCAACGTGAGGACGGTGCACGACGCGCGCGGGAACATCGCCGGCTACCAGGTCTGGCCCTCCGTGGCGGAGAGGCAGCTGGCGGCGGCTGCGGCGGCGATGACGGGTAGCGCTTCCAACGAGGACGGCCGGATGTCGTCGTCGAGTAACGGAGGGGGTGGTGATGGTGGTGGCGACGGTAGGGAAGGGGTGACGCAGAAGGTGCCGTTTGTGGGCGCCGGGAGTGCGGGCGAGGTGGGGAGCGCGATGACTGGGCCGTCGTCGGCGTCGTCGGCGGCGTCGAGTAGTAACGGGAGCAGCAGGGCGGCGGCGATAGCCATGTTGGCGCCGCCGGGGGGGCTATCGATTGCGGCGTGTGCGGCGATGAGCGATGACGGCATTATGCTGAGACACGTAAGTTGTGAAGTATGAGCTGTAGTTTTTGGGGGATGGATGAGGACGCTCGCGTCGCTGCTGCTGCTGGGTTTGGGGTTGTAGCGTTTTCTTGTTTGCGTTGTTGTTGTTGTTGTTGTTGTTGTTGTTGTTGTTGTTGTTGTTGCTGTTCTAGTTGCCATGTCTCAGCCTCAACTACTAGTGTTTTTTTCCACCCTGGCCGCCATGGGTAGGACACCGGTATTGGCAGAGTCCCATCCCGATTGCAAACGCCTGCAACCGTCGTTTCTGTCTGTTGTCATTCGCTAAATAGCTCTTCTTCCCTTCTTGCCGCCCATACGATCGTTCTGCGGCACAATTTTGATGGTCCGTTTCGGAAAACAACAACAACGAAGGCTGTGCACAACCTCGGCGTGCCAGTCTCCATGCTCCTGAGCCACAACCCGTCCGCAGGGGGGGGCTCGGCGTCCGCTTACTCGCCGCTCCGGGCGGTGTTGGACATGTCGGTGAGTTTTTTTTTATTGTCTTTTTTCATCCTGGCGCGACGTGTGTTTGAGACCGGGCAGCGGAGTAAGTCGAATTGGCAAGGCCGCTTCTTGTATGACGGGTAGAGCACTCACCGCCACTTGAGAACCCCTTATTGTTAATGTGGGAAAGTTTCGCAACTTGTTCCCTAACTGACAACCAACGAACTGTGCATGGGTTCTCGTGTGGGGTAAACTATTACCCTCCATTCTCGCCCTCCGTTCTTACCTTCTAAGTCGAAGGCGGTGGCGAGGTCTGAACTGTGTGTGTGTGTGTGTGTATGTTTCGTTTTGTGGCTTGTTGGTGCATGGCGTCTCGCCATCGTGCGACTTCGGCCTGTCGTGGCAGGCGTTAGGTATTGCTTCCCTCGCTCCAGGCAATAGAATATCTCTTTTTCTCTAAGCTCCGCCTCACCCGCAAGTTGTGCATCGACGCTGCTCACCCTCCCCCCCCTCTCTCATGTCTCGTCCGCGAATGCCCCGCTTGGGACGAAATCATCTCACCACCACGTTTACTCGTGTGGTATTGTAGTGGCTGAGACTGGCGAACGGTAACGACCTCAACGCTAAGGGCGCCGAGTCTATCGGGGTGCACCTCCTTTCCAAGGCATCGTCGATCGTCGGTGATAACCTTGGGCTGAGGTTACCCCCTTACCCAAGCCACCCCGTTTCGGTGAGCGTGCGTTTTTTTTTCTTTTGTTTCAAAACAGAAGGAATTTGTCTCTTCCACAGATGAAAGAATCCGGAATAGATTGGCAACGGAATAGTAGTGTTCGCCTGGGAGGCCTTGATCTCTTTGTCGTCGTTATAATATATAGTGCATTCTCCTGTTGAAGTGTGTGGGTGTGAATTGCACTAGGTTCGCCTACTGTGTTAATTGCTGCTGTTGCGTTGTCAGGTTTTGTGTGGGTGTAAGTATATGGTTTGATGTTCGCTTTCTTTATGTGGTTTCATGCTCGTTTTTCGTCTTGGTTTTTGTGGTTGCGTTTTGTTTCAGGTCTCCGAGCGGACTACCTTGACCGCAATGCTCCAGTCTGCCGCCAAGGCGACACATCTCCGGGCCAGCCTGTTGGCGTACACGGAGCTCAAGGAGGCGAGTCATGCAAGTTGCTCTCCCTATTTTTGCCGGTGCATGTTGTGATTGGTGTTTTTGTTGTTGGGGCGGTTGGCGGTGGTGGTTCTGTGGTCACACACCTAACACTAATTGCGTGTTTCGTGTTTTGCTTTTTGGTGTGCTTGTTCTCTCCGACCGTCGCATCCAAGCGACCTGGCCAGTGCGTGACGCTTTCAAAGACTAACATTGATCGGGTCAGTACACTGTGCTTGGCTTGCCTGGAAACAGCGTATGCGTGTCGGTTCAGTCGGTCAGTCTCGACCGGAACAAGGTCGACGAGTCGAGAATTGCCGGCAACTGCGACATCCAGACTCTTTTTACTTGTTCTTACAAAAAGCCATGGTAATCTGGTAGGTAACACGTTTCGTTGTTTTGTGTTATGGAATGAATGCTTTCGCCTCGAGCAGATACAGTCATTCGCCGCTCGACTAGCGCAGTTGGCGGAGCTGAAGGCCGCTCCCATGCCGTCCTGGTGGAAGCCGGCCGTTCACGACGCGCATCTCCTTATCGCCAGCTGCATCTACGGTGAGAGCGGGTCGTATCATGAGACCATGAACAGGTACATGTAAGTATGGTTCCGGGCATCGCGCCTATTGGGTTGGGCCCGCTGTTTGCGATCGTCGCTTCAAGGGGGGGGGGTTAGCGAGGCAAGCTTATCTGCCTCTGCACCTGTGGCGCGAGCTAACGTGTTGCATTCATTATTTTTTACCGTTCCGCTTGGCGTGCATCCATTTCATCCATTCCACTAGGATCGTCGAGCGACTACGGCGTCGACAAGGCGATGAAGGAGACGACCCTGGCCATGCTTCAGGAGAACGGCCTGGCCTTCGCCGCCCAAGAGAGGGAGAACAACAAGGTGAAAGCAAGGTTGACAGGCTTTGTGCCGTGCTGCGGTGTGTTTGGGCGCTCGAGCCGTCACACGTTGTTGAGAGGGAGGAACCCGCGTCGCTCTTTGAAGCTTTTGCCTGAGCTGTGCGATTCAGCGTTCTGATCCGACCCCCCCCTCCCCGGTGTTTGCCGTCGGGGTTGGGTTTTCGTCGCTTGGCAACGACGTTGTAAAACAAGCCAATTCACTTGGTGAACTCGGCAACCAGGTTACCGTTTTTTTTTTTTACCTCCGTTTTTTTTTTTGGCGGTAACCATAATGGTGGCCGAGTAGATCATGTTGTGCGGGGTGGAGAAC